AGGTTGGTATATACAAGGGTCTTGACTATGTCTTTTTTAATTTTTACCCAAAAAACCTCAAATTTTAATACTCTTTATATTTCGTATTTTAAGAAGTATCATTTTTGACATTTTCTTTCAAAAATTACAATATATATATAAAAGTAGCCTCTATATTCTTTTGTGCAATTGCGATTGCTTTGACTACATTTTATTATATTTAGATAAAGATAAAATTATATATTTGCTGTTAAAAAAGCACTTTTTGGAAATAAAATCTAATTTTAAATCTAATTTTGGTTCTTAGAGTTTGATTTTAAAAAGCTTGAGTTTCTACAAAACCACATATCATAAACTCTAAAGCAGAACAGTTTTCCTTTATTATAGGAAAACAAAACAAGAAGACCAATTAACCATAACTTTTCAAATAGTTGTATGAATCGAGACTTATTAGGATTCTCATTATGCTTTATCAAGCATACACATAGCGACTCTAATGTTATCTAGTATAATTCCCATTTATAATTAAATCCAATAAAGATCAGTGTACTTTAGAAAGAGGAATTGCTTGATTAAAGGCATGAAAGATTGTGTTGTCTAGAGGTGGGAGTGGGTAGGATGTTTTTAATACTTTTGAACGGATCTCTAGTAAATGTTAATATGCAAAATGTTTATGGCCTATTTGTTTCTTTGTTTCATAGTTGCTGATAGCAATCAATAATAACGACTAATAATATATTTTATTATGTTTTTTTTTTGGCGTTAATATATTTTATTATGTTTTTTTGAAGTTTTATATAACCAACGACTAATAACAACAATTAATTTTTTGTTCAATTCCTAGTTGTTGGTTTAGCGTGACAAGATGTTGCGACAAATTTTGCTGATTAACGATTAAAATTTTAAACTTCTGTGTTATAAAATTTAGATTAACGATTTGACGTTGAAATTTTTTTGTTAATCAAAACATGACGAGATACACATGAATTAGTTAGCATAACGTGTTTTTTTTTTTGTTTTGAAACCTATAACGTGTTATTATCACCAAAATATATCATCGAATCAAGGATTACATAACATTTTAAACTCTATATTCTTTAAGTAGCCTCTATATTCTTTTTGTGCAATTGTGATTAATTTTGTTGTTGGTTAATAATGGATTGGCCACTACAAAATGAACCGTTTATACGTCCTTGCATTGTTAATGTTTTTTTACACATGTATCAAATTTAGATAGTTAATGTTTTGTCACACCATATGATAAATAACCAACATTCATAAGAGTAAATGTGAATCATATAGTTTTTAAAAAGTATTTCTAAATTTAATTGGCATTAAATGAGTTGTGAGGAACATGGAAATGAAGTAAGAAAAAAAAAGGAGAAAAACATATAAAGAAGAGGAAGCATTAAATACTATAATAGGAAAGATAGAGATGGGTAGGAACCACACCAACTTTGAAATTTTTTGACTTACAAAATAAATTACTACGTGAGCCCCCCCTGTTTCGGTCCTGTCTTCTG